TCCCTCAAGCCACCCGAGTCACACAAGACACATACAGAAAACCACAACACTGGCCTACAGCCTGGTATCAGTGAGATGATTAAAGAAACACACAGCCTGGTATCAGTGAGACGACAAAACCATGACACTGGGCTACAGCCTGGTATCAGTGAGATGACAAAAGAAGAAGAAAGAGTGCAAAGAAAATGATGAAAGTAAGGATTCATGTGGCCAATCACTTGATAGGTGATGTGGTCCCCATTAGGCCAGTTGTTGTCTGATGTGTAATGACCATATTTCTGCATTCTCTGTCTGATGTAGGTGTTAGGCCCCATGACTCTGAGATGGTTGATGTCAAATAACAGCTCTCTGTTTCTGGCACTGCTGGCTATTCGCTGTGCCAATGCTCTGATGATACAAACACAGTATGTGCCGGATGAGTACTGGCAGTCTCTTGAAGTGGCTCACAATATGGTTTTTGGGTAAGTTTTGTCACCATCATCGTCCCTTGTGGGTTGCGGAGTCCCATTGTGGGGAAGACAAGAATAGACCCACTGCCTCCCCAATGTGCAGGTCGTGGGAGTCGACTAATTGGGAGCTTCCTTTGAAATTGGAGTGCATCTGTCTGAGCGGCAAGGAACAAACAACTGCACACAGTAAGCCAGTAAAAGGGATGTGCACGCAAAACTCAGGCTCTGACACAAAGCCAAAGTCTAACTGGATGAACAACCAGGACTTTCCGCTGGAGCTTACTGCTGGGGAACAGAGAAGAAGAAGAATAAGAAAAAGACATCATCATCATTAAGTGTCTTTCCATTAAATGTGAGCAGTTGTGCTTCTCCACATCCTGTGATCTCCTACCCGAATCAGTGTGTATGCTCACACTTTTCTTCTTTCTTCATTTGTCCAACTGCTTATGTCATAAAGTGTTGCAGACAGAAGTTATATGTAGTTTCCTGTCTTTTGCTTGTTGCGTAGCTAATGTTAATGACATTGTATTTCTGTAGTGTCTATTTTACGCCCTCTGCTCATCTTTTTCTTGGTCGACCTCTTGACCTGTAGGCTGCTGTTCTCATGCAGTGCACTCTAGCTGCTGACTGATTGTGTTTCATTCAGATCAAATGACCAAACTAATTTTCTTTGATGTTCTGTGAAATCATTTATCAGTACCCCGTGTGGGTTCTGGGGCTCTATTGTGGAGAAAACAAGAACAGACCCACTGCCTGCCCAAAAGCATGTCACAATTGTCGACTAATTTGGAGCATCCTTCGAAGTCAGAGTATATCTGCCTGAGAGGCAACGAACCAACAGACTGCATGCATATGAGTCAGACCTGTGAAACGGATGTGCATGCACCACTCAGTTTCTGGAACAGGACTAGAGTCCAAAAGTGGTCGAACAACCAGAACTTTCCGCCGGAGTTACATACCGTGAAAGCGAAGAGGATTTATCAGAACTTTGTCTACCATTGTACTTAGTTATTTTTGTATGACTCTGTCTCTTCTTGTTAATTTGATTTTTATTTTCTCCGTTTCTTATCTCAAGCATTTGAGCAATTACATCCTCTAATGGCATGCTGGTCCTGTCCTAGAATCCTTTCTAACACCTCCTAGTGCCATGACAAAAGGCTGTCAGCAATCTCCTGTTGTCAGCTCCCTGTGTCTTTCTTTCCATACATTTTTCGGCTATCTTCCGAATAACGGTCCCAAATTATCGAAGCAGAAAATATACCCTAACAGGGCCACAGTCACGTGTCAATTGCGCACTTCCGGGGACTATACTGCCACCGCCGAAATTGCGAACTTCCGGGGACTATACCGCCACCGCCGAGAGTATTCCCCACGCTGCGTCAGCGGCGTGGATTGGGGCTAAACTAGATGGCTGGTACACACGAGCAAATAAAATCAAGGCAGTTGCAGGAAATGCGGTAGCTGCTGCTTGTGAGTCCCAGCCATCTAGTTTAGCCCCAATCCACGCCGTATGGGGGATACTCTCGGCGATGGCGGAGGTGCGCAATTTAAGTCGCCCGAAGTGCGCAATTGACATGTGACTGAGGCCCTGTTAGGGTATATTTTCTGCCTCGATAATTTGGGACCGTTATTCGGAAGATAGCCCATTTTCCAATTGTTACAAATTCCACTTATTGCTTCTCAAAATGTGGCTAAATAAATATTGCCTGTTTCTGATGTTTGTGATAAATTTTTTTTCATGAAACATTTTGGCTGTTGAAGGAATTTTCATCATTATCCTTGAATGAATTGTTTGCTTCTTAAATAATAATCTAGGATTAGATTTCTAATTTGTAACTTTTGAGGACAGGAAATTATTGCAGAATATGTCCTTTATTTGTCCTATTTTTTTTGTGACATATCTTCCAGCTGATGTTAAACATGTGCCAGATAAAAGTAAAGATCCCTTTTCACGCCTCTAGGCGTATCGGGTATATGGGAAGAGCGCCCATATTTCTACAGACCATCCATGTGCCAGATACTTGAGTTTCTGTACTTGCACCAGGTTGAATTTAATTGTACATATGGGAATGTGCATAACTGTGGGATTATCATTAATTACTTCTGTATTCTCATTTTTCAAGTTGGGAGTCCATTTTTTTTCACTTTCTACCAACAGTAAATCTATCAATTTCTGTGGGTTTTTTCTGACTCAACATTCACACCAACAGAGCAAAAGCAATTTGGCATAAACAGTCTTTTTAGCGTTGACCATCTGTTAACTCTGGTGGATAGTTATAGTTGTTCGTCTACTTCTGGACTGAAGTATTTTCAAAAAACGGCTTTCACATGCACATCCTTGGTTTCTCACCTCTCAGGCAGATGTACTTCGACTTGAAAGGAAAGCATAAATTTATGACTTCATTTTAGGGGGGGGGGGGGGGGGGGCTGTGAGTTGCCTCACTGCCCCCAACATGTATGTCACAAAAGGCCATTGATTAGGGGTGTGCTGAAATTGAATGTGTTATGCCGAATGGCACAGATATTGCTGCCTAGCTGTATATCATACCACAATGCGAAATCACCCTGTTAAGAGTGAATGAAGATGAAGTAGAAGAAGAAGACACTGGGGCTGTGGAATTTACCTTAAAACTACCTCCCTTACCCTGTCAATAATTGTTGGGAAAAAGTCAAATGACACAAATATTGCAGTTTTGCTGCAAACAAATACAATTCAAATACTGCGAAATTGATTATTGCATAAGAAAAATGTGAATGAATGAATCAAGAATTGACTTCACTACACTCAGGACATTCCCACACATGCTCCATCCCCTTCTTCAGTAGCCAAAGATGAGTCGACATGCTGATAGCACCAGTAACAATATGATTAAAAGTCTGTGTTCCTCCTTCAGTTTTGAATATCTCCCAGATCCTCTACTCATCGCTGTCTAATTATTTCCAGTGTATGGATAAGAAGAAGAATGTAGAAGAAGAATGTAAAAGAAGGATGTAGAAGAAGGATGTAGAAGAAGAATGTAGAAGAAGAATGTAGAAGAAGAATGTAGAAGAAGGATGTAGAAGAAGGATGTAGAAGAAGAATGTAGAAGAAGGATGTAGAAGAAGTATGTAGAAGAAGGATGTAGAAGAAGGTTGTAGAAGAAGGTTGTAGAAGAAGGATGTAGAAGAAGGATGTAGAAGAAGGATGTAGAAGAAGGATGTAGAAGAAGAATGTAGAAGAAGGATGTAGAAGAAGGATGTAGAAGAAGAATGTAGAAGAAGGATGTAGAAGAAGGATGTAGAAGAAGGATGTAGAAGAAGGATGTAGAAGAAGGATGTAGAAGAAGGATGTAGAAGAAGAATGTAGAAGAAGGATGTAGAAGAAGGATGTAGAAGAAGGATGTAGAAGAAGGATGTAGAAGAAGGATGTAGAAGAAGAATGTAGAAGAAGAATGTAGAAGAAGAATGTAGAAGAAGGATGTAGAAGAAGGATGTAGAAGAAGGATGTAGAAGAAGGATGTAGAAGAAGAATGTAGAAGAAGGATGTAGAAGAAGGATGTAGAAGAAGAATGTAGAAGAAGGATGTAGAAGAAGAATGTAGAAGAAGGATGTAGAAGAAGGATGTAGAAGAAGGATGTAGAAGAAGAATGTAGAAAAAGGATGTAGAAAAAGAAGAATGTAGAAGAAGGATGTAGAAGAAGGATGGAGAAGAAGGATGGAGAAGAAGAATATAGAAGAAGAATGTAGAAGAAGAACGTAGAAGAAGAAGAATGTAGAAGAAGGATGTAGAAGAAGGATGGAGAAGAAGGATGTAGAAGAAGGATGTAGAAGAAGAATGTAGAAGAAGACTGAAGAAGAAGAATGTAGAAGAAGGATGTAGAAGAAGGATGTAGAAGAAGAATGTAGAAGAAGAATGTAGAAGAAGAATGTAGAAGAAGAATGTAGAAGAAGGATGTAGAAGAAGGATGTAGAAGAGGAATGTAGAAGAAGGATGTAGAAGAAGAAGGATGTAGAAGAAGAAGGATGTAGAAGAAGGATGTAGAAGAAGAAGGATGTAGAAGAAGGATGTAGAAGAAGTATGTAGAAGAAGGATGTAGAAGAAGGATGTAGAAGAAGAATGTAGAAGAAGAATGTAGAAGAAGGATGTAGAAGAAGGATGTAGAAGAAGAATGTAGAAGAAGGATGTAGAAGAAGAATGTAGAAGAAGAATGTAGAAGAAGAATGTAGAAGAAGAATGTAGAAGAAGAATGTAGAAGAAGAATGTAGAAGCAGGATGTAGAAGCAGGATGTAGAAGCAGGATGTAGAAGCAGGATATAGAAGAAGAATGTAGAAGAAGGATGTAGAAGAAGGATGTAGAAGAAGGATGTAGAAGAAGGATGTAGAAGAAGGATGTAGAAGAAGGATGTAGAAGAAGGATGTAGAAGAAGTATGTAGAAGAAGGATGTAGAAGAAGAATGTAGAAAAGGATGTAGGATATAAAATGTAGAGGACAGAATTAAGTATGCATTTTTGTCATTTGGTCGAGTCAACTGAAATAATTGTGTGTTTGACATTTGCACAGGTTTGGCTATATGACGTGGGAGTGGCGAGAAGGCCTACGTGGCTATTCCTATCCACTTGTGTTTGCTGTTTTCTACAAAGTATTGTCTCTGCTGGGTCTAGACTCCAGGATATTGCTGGTATTGTAGCTTTTACACTGGACATTGAAAAACAGTGTTGTAAACGGATTCTATACTTTGAATGTGTCAAAAAAGTACCGTTTTTACAAGCTGATATTTCTTTTTAGAAGTGGATGATACATCTGATTGAAAAAAACCCAGATACTTTATCATAAATAGGTTTCCCTGTGTGGGCCCTTTTATAGGGGAAAGAATAGACCCACTGCCTACCCAAAAGCATGCAAGAGTCGACTAATTGAGAGCGTCCTTCGAAGTCGGAGTGCATCTGCTTGAGAGGCAAGGAACCAGCAGTCTGCATACAAATGAGTCAAATCTGTAAAATGGATGCACACACAACACTCAAGTTCTGGACAGTACTGCAGTCTAAACGTGGATGAACAACCAGAACATTCTGCCAGAGTTTACAGCTGGTGAACGCGAAGAAGAAGAAGAAGATAAATAGGTTAAAATATTTGTAGAATATTGGAGTATGGGTCTTCCCCATTTGGGTTCTGCGGCCTCATTATGGGAATGGAAAGGGAGGGGAGAATGGGTCTACTGCCTCCCTAACAAGTATGTCATTTGAGTTGACTAATTAAGGGTTTCCTTCGTAGTTGGAGTGCACTTTCCTGAGAGGCGAGGAACAAACAGTTTGCAAACAGATAAACCAAACCTGTAAAACAGATATGCATGCAAAACTCAAGTTCTGGGAAGAGACTAAAGTCCAGAAGTGGGGAAAAACCACTATAACTTTCTGCAGGAGTTTACAGATGGTGAATATTAAGAATAAGCAATATGGTTGGTTCGAGCCCTTAATTTTTTAGATCACTCAGTCGGCGATGGGGGATTTGGTCAGTATCATGCTGGCATCTTCACTTCCTATGAAATTTCCTCACATTTTTTTTATTGGGTTGACCTAGTTTTTTAAAATGGGTTTGATGGCCAAGAGAAGACAACTTTGATTGACTGTTGCCTTTTTTGCGCCTGTTCTATTTGTTTTGTTTCAGTGAGGGATTGTTAACATGTGCAACATACACATGGGTCGTGTCAGTGTTTCCTCTTGTCCACAGAAACTAGGTGTCTGATCTGTTTCCCTATGATCAGGAAGTAGACCGTTTTTGGCAAAGCCAGTAGCATGCATATTCCTTAATTACATAAGATATCCATCAGAATTGCCTACATAAACAGTGTGGCACTAAAACTGCAGTTAATTATTGATGTAAACAGCAGTTACAACAAATCAGTAGTTGCAAATACAGTTAATTGCATAAGGCGCCATAAGTTCTGTGGCCACAGACCATTCACCTATTTCTGAATCTGCAGTTCACAAAACAAACCATATTGGGCACAGTCAAAAAGCATTCTAAAAGGAATTCGTAATTGACAGTGTCGTGCCATGCAGTCATCTCAGCAGCGGCCGACGGAGATATACTGTCAGTCCCCATGTGTGGGGGGGGGGGGGGGGGGGAAGGGGAGGGGGGGCAATGACTGACCATAGCCGGAAGCACATACACAAATCCCACAACTTGAAACACTAAATCTGCATATCCATCATACTGGACCTTAAGTTCATTTTTCTTATTTGTAAAAATCCACTGCATGCCGTGGATTGAACGAGGTCTTCATCGGCTAAAGATGGATGCTGCATGTCTAAGAGATAGGATTTATGCAGTTGCGTACATATCCAGATTCCTTCTTTCCTTTGAAGTAAACAAAGCAGGCTGAGCGAGAGATCGTGATGTGTGGGCAGTAGATGGTTTCTGTAATGCTGCCCAGGCCTCGTGCTGTGGAGGGGAAAAAAAGTGTTGACGGGTTTTGCTAGTCAGACACACCACCACCTTGGGTTGTTTCCGATAACTCCCCATAGCACAGTGTAATAGTGTTTACTGAGAAGGGGGAAACATGCCTAACTATCATCATCATCATGTAGCAGGTCCTTTGCAGAACGTCGCTCTCATCACAGTCTGCCTGAAAGAAACTCGGTCTCTCGCCAGCTCTCCTGCCTCATGCATTTGCACATTCAAGGAGTCACCTTTATCCTGTGCCCATCTTCATGTCGGTCAGTCCCTCTCCCTCCTTCCTGGCACCATGCCTTCTGCTATTATTTTTTCCAATCCGTCGTGGCGCTTGATATGACCAAAATATTTCAGCTTTCAAGAAAGGATGGTGTTTATTAGCCAATCTTTCTTGATGTTCAGATCTTTTAAGATGTCAATATTTCTCATCTTCTTTGTCCAAGATATTCTGAGAATCTTTCTATAACATGCCTAACCACACCCCCAAAAAATTCATAGCCAGGAAACTGCACTAGTGCTGTGGTTAACTTGCTTGCCTGACATCCCTGTCATTGTATGTTCAAATCTCCATTGAGGCTTCCAGCTCAAAAGTCTAATGAGCACCAGACAATATGATGGGAAGTAAAGTGGGCCAGCTGGATACTGCCACATCACCCAAATAGTGCCAGTTAGTTTTACAAAATATATAGCCTTGCACCTTATAGCTACTGTAAAATGCATTAACACAAATTCCAAAGGATCATTAAAAAAAAAAAAGTTTGCTTACCAGCGACTAATAACATCACTCCTGAGACCAAAATTAATTTAACATAGGTACCAGGTAAAGTCCTGGGAAGTAAAGGTGGCTGGTATGATATTGATCACACCACCTATGTTGGGCTAATTGATCTAGCATTATGTACCCGATGCACCGCTGGTGTAAAAAGATGAACTTACATTTTAACCCCTGGAATCATGATTCAAAACCCCCTGTGTGGGTTCCGGGGCCCCATTGTGGGGAAAACAAGAATAGACCCACTGCCTCCCCAAAAGCATGTTGTAAGAGTCAACTAATTGGGGAGCTTCCTTTGAAGTCGGAGTGCGTCTGCCGGAGAGGCAAGGAACCAACAGTCTGTATTCAAGAGAATGAGATCTGTAAAACTGATGCACACGCAACACTCAGGTTCTGGAGCAGGACTGCAGTTCAGTAGTAGACGAGCAACCAGAACTTTCCGCCAGAGTTTACAGCTGGTGAACGCGAAGAAGAAGAAGAAGAAGAAGATGATTCAAAACCTCATTCTCACAAAATAATTATAAATAATAAATAGACAGACAATATATTTTTTTTCTTTAACCTAATTGTTACGCAGTAACCTGTAGTCAATGGTTATTTAAGCCATTTTTCACTTGTTATTCCAATTAAAACATGTCTTTAATTTGAAGCCATCTTCTACTTGCCAGATAAAGATACCAAGACTGGTTCAGGCTGTGATTGCTGCCTGGGGGGACCTCTGCTTGTACAAGCTGTCATCGAAGTTGAGCGGACGAGCCACTGCCCAATGGACGCTTCTGTGTCATGTAGGACGATATGTCCACTCATTTGTTTTATCTTCATTATTTCCATGTTTTCTTCCCGTGTTTCTTGGAAACTACACATATTGTGTTTTCTAATGTTTAGTAATAATCTTTTCTTTCTGCTTTTCTGCGGGTCATGTGGGTTTTGGAGGGAGCGAGCATGCAGATTATCTGGCATACACTGCGGTTGTCATTACTGGTCTGGTACTGGACAGAAGTGATGTCATTAGTGCTATGCAAGGCACTTACTGTGAAGATAAGTACAGCAGTGGGCATGACCCCTTATTGCTGTCCGTGCTGATGGACATGGGCATGACCCCATATTGCTATCCATGCTGATAGACATGGGTATGACCCCATATTGCTATTCATGCTGATGGACATGACCCCATATTGCTGTCCATACTGATGGACATGGGTATGACCCCATATTGCTGTCCATGCTGATGGACAGGGGTATGACCCCATATTGCTATCCATGCTGATGGACATGACCCCATATTGCTGCCCATACTGATGGACATGACCCCATATTGCTGTCCATGCTGATGGACATGGGATGACCCCATATTGCTGTCCATGCTGATGGACATGACCCCATATTGCTGTCCACACTGATGGACATGACCCCATATTGCTGTCCATACTAATGGACATGACCCCATATTGCTGTCCATGCTGATGGACATGGACATGACCCCATATTGCTTTCAATGCTGATGGACATGGGTATGACACCATATTGCTGTCCATGCTGATGGACATGGGTATGCAGCCTGGAGCTGCCAGGAAGGAACATTTCACCAAGGGCCCAGGATGTCGATTAATCAACACAGAGCAGGCGTCATCAGTCATTTAATGCTTGTGGAACTGTTGAGGAGGAGATCGATGCACGTATAGATCTGTCCTGCTGTATTGATATCCTTACTAATCTGTTAGACTGCTTTCATACCTGACTGTGGTACCTTTCTGATCTGTCCCACCCATGATATTGTAGAGGGGGGCTTATGTGTTCCAGTTACCCAAAGAATATGCTAACAGCTACTTATCCAATGCTAGTGCTTCTCATGTTCAAGGGATAGGGACCAGACAGAGAAGGAGACAAACAAGTTATCTAATAGATAAATTCAGGACACTCAAAGTCTGTGGAAAGCAAACCTATAAAAGTGCTTGTCCAATTTGGAAGCCACAAACAAATTGAAGAATATTTTATGCAATCTTTCTTTGTCAATTGGGCTTGAAGGAGAATTCTTAAAAGCTATATAAATCCTGTCTTGATTTACGGATGTGAATCATGGACAATTGGTAAGTTAGTGACAAATTATTTGGAAGCTGCGGAGACGAACAATGAGAATGCCCTGCACAGATAAAACGAGTAATGAAGATGTCTTACAAGAAATGACTCACAAAGAGAACTGATTACCCACATCAGAAAGAGACAATCTACATTCTTTGGTCATGGGATGAGAAGGAGAAAACTAGAGAAAATCTTAACAGTAGGAGAGTTGGAGGCGAACAAACAAACTTTATTTTCAAAAGGTCACAAATTGGGCACGCTGGCCTGTCTTACATTCGGCACATGGTATGGATGATAAGAAGAAAAAGTCACAAAGTTGAAGAACAGTGTAATCAAATTCACTGCATGATGGTGAAACTGTGTTGTCAGCAAATCTCAGATCATTTTTTGCTTATGTATACCTTGGGAATTTCCCGTCCCCTTGCTGCCAGAGAATATGCAAACCCATCACATTCGTTCATTACCTTCTTCTGCTAGTGATCGCTTGCTTGTTTCACACTGACAGATGATTTGTTGTGATAAAATTGACCTTTTTTTGAAAGTCTCTTTATTTCCATACAACTTTGAGTGCAGTGATTTGTTTAAGAGTTCCTTGATATGATTACATTTGTGACTAAAAATAGCATTTAAGGGAAGTTGAGTTCCTTATAAAAAAGATCCCTTTTACAAGTATTATGATGTCAACATTTCCCATAGGTTTAGTGTTAGATGAGGTTACTGTATGAGTCACTTGATACATATTTTCTTAATCCCCAGGCAACTCCCCATGTTAAAAAAAACTGTATATTCCCCCAATGGACTGCTCCATTTAATTCTTCAATTTATTCAATTCATTGAATACTTTCCTTCATATTTTCTGGAAATTTTATATAAATATACCCTGTGTGGGTTCTGGGGCCATATTATAATGAAAAAATGAATACACCCACTGCCTACCCAAAAGCATGTTGTAAGAGTCGACTAATTGGGAGCTTCCTACAAAGTCGGAGTGCATCTCCTAAGAGGCAAGGAACCAGCAGTCTGCATACAAATGAGTCAGATCTGTAAAATGGATGCACACGCAATATTCAGATTCTGGAACAGGACTGTAGTCCAAAAGAGGATGAACAACCAGAACTTTCCACCAGGGTTTACAGCTGGTGAACGCAAAGAAGAAGAAGAGAGATATATGTATATATTTGCCTTGTCTGGATTTTGTTATGTTTCTGGCATCTACAATGAGTATATGGTTCTGCAGCTTTTACGGCACCATCAAGGCATATGATTTAATAAATATCTATAATATAAATATATATATAATATTTAGTGAACTGTAAAATGGATGTTTTGTAAAGGATTTTTTGAGTAATTCCCTTTTACTTTGGTTATTATGTCTTCTTCTTCTTCTTCGCGTTCACCAGCTGTACATTCTGGCGGAAAGTTCTGGTTGCTCATCCACTACTGAACTGCAGTCCTGCTCCAGAACCTGAGTGTTGCGTGTGCATCAGTTTTACAGATCTCATTCTCTGGAATACAGACTGTTGGTTCCTTGCCTCTCCGGCAGATGCACTCCGACTTCAAAGGAAGCTCCCCAATTTGTCGACTCTTACGACATGCTTTTTCGGAGGCAGTGGGTCTATTCTTGTTTTCCCCTACAATGGGGCCCCGGATCCCACACGGGCTGGTTATTATGTGAAATGGTATGTAGGGCAAAAGCGTTAACCTCTCGTTTTCTTTACTTCAGAATAAGAAATTATATAATGAATATTTATCTACTAAAAATACATAGTTAATATTTGTATACAAAGAAAATACATAATTAATGTTTGTGCACATTTTATATGAACTTGATGTTGTAAGAGTTTGTCTCTCTTTTTTTTTCCCCACAGCTCTTGTCTTGGTTTACCATTTATTGCTGTACTCGCACTTTGACTAACTCTACCGAGACTGTACTTATAACTGCTGCGTTGAGTTACTTCCCCTGGCCTGATCATCCATCGTAAGTCAGATTGTTAATGTTTGATTAAAACAATAACTATCACCAGAAATGTGAAGTCACTTGTTTGAACATTCTTTTTTTTCCTTATCCCTGCCAGTGATTTTCAGATAGGAAGGTCACAGGTCTGTGTGAAGTCTGTGATGCGAAGCATGTCTTCCACTGATCCATACAGTTTGGTTTCCATTGGAATGCCCTCCGGAGAAACCTGAGATCTCAGTCATTATTTATTACTTTCAAAGTCGTCCCCATGAGGGATGCAATTTTTCGTTATTTGAAACCCCATGCTGGCATTTGCCGGGAGCCCTGAAGATAGCCAGGCCATAAATATGGACTAGCCTTAGAAATGGCCTAACGGCTGAAGGGGTTTCTGGGACCTCTCCACAGGTGATCCTCATCTGCATGGTCGCACTTTGTATCACAAGGTGTTTATCGCTTGTGTGATCTTCTGGTGGGGTACAACTAACTACCTACCTGAGATCTCTCTACTGCATGAACTCTCTCCATTCTGCATGTGGTGAGAATGTCTGTAGCACATGTTCAGTATAGCATTTTCTTCATTCGTTATTCTGGGGTGCTTGTCCACATGGGTAAGTTCTGAATCCCCAGGTGTTGGGGAGATAACTGCTCTCTGTGGTACACCTTGCTTTAGTGCCGAAGAGATGAGACAGTGCAGAACTGGTAGACCTGAAGGTGGCACTCCATGAACTATGTCATGAATCCAAAAATGTTGTTGTTTTGTTTGTTTGTTTTAGTATCCAGAAGCCATGAGTTGTTAACCCTTAGGCTCGGTATTATGGATATCACAACCTTTCGGCCTTGATTCCATTGTAAATACTGTAAATCTGGGAGAAATTTGGCTTTCCTGCCTACCCCCAGGATTGAACCCGGACCACAAGGAGTTCGTCACCCGGTCTCCTCGCAATCTGGTTTAGCCAACTACTCTAGAGAGCCGGGCAAAAATGTTGTTAAGTTAATCTTACAACCTAGAGGATCAACTTCATTGCCCCAGGTTATCCTATATGGCTCGGTCTCTGTCTGCTGAATGGCTAGCAACCTGTCGAAAGCATAAACTATATAGCTCCAGTGATGAGCCCCAGGGATCTCACTAAAAATTACACTTATGAACTGAAGGAGGCAGCCAGTGATACTAACCCAAAACCTTCAGAGCAGGAATAAAACAGCTTGACCACTAAGTGAAGATCAAAAACTACTTATGTCTGATGTAGAGATTACCTATAATGAGACCAAAAGATGTTGAAGAAATAATTATGCAACCCGTTCGCAGCCAGGGCATCCAGAAGTTACTGGCACCTTTCCATTTTTCCAAACCATAATTTTTCCTTGTGCTGCATCGAGGCTTAATAATCACATGTCATGGTGATAGCAAATATGAATAACAAAACTCACATTCAGAAGTATCTTCTGCTGAAGAGGCATGAGATTTTAGGACCATTTTTGGAAATACAAGTATTTGACATGGTTATTCTTAGAGGTTCAGCTCTTAACCTCTCGTCTGCAATCCTGTTCTCTTTATCCTTATTTCCTTCCTAGCTTTTCCTCTCCATGCAGTGTGGTCTTGTTCCCACGAATCCATCTCACTAAATGTACCACTCATGTCTTTGCTTTTCTTCTTTTTCTTCACTTCCTCTTTTACATCTTTGGTTGTTGACAGAGATTTAAGGTTCTGCTTCTTGCTGCTCTGGCCATCTTGACCATTGACAGACACATCATGCTGGCTTCAACATCTTCAGTTGTTGACAGAGATTTAAGGTTCTGCTTCTTGTTGCTCTGGCCATCTTGGCCATTGACAGACATCATGCTGGCTTTGACATCTGTAACCCATACAGAGATATAAGGTTCTGCTTCTTGCTGCTCTGGCTGTCTTGACCATTGACAGACACATCATGCTGGCTTCAACATCTTCGGTTGTTGACAGAGATACAAGGTTCTGCTTCTTGTTGCTCTGGCCATCTTGACCATTGACAGACACATCATGCTGGCTTTGACATCTGTAACCCATACAGAGATATAAGGTTCTGCTTCTTGTTGCTCTGGCTGTCTTGACCATTGACAGACACATCATGCTGGCTTCAACATCTTCGGTTGTTGACAGAGATTTAAGGTTCTGCTTCTTGTTGCTCTGGCCATCTTGACCATTGACAGACACATCATGCTGGCTTGGACATCTTCAACCCATTTGTAATTCACCATCAATCCAGATGTACATTGCAAACTCCTCTTGAGGTAGTGTTAACTCAGTCAACAGATACTTGATCAAGTTTCTTATGAAATGGAGCCAGGGGCGCTCTTGTCTGTCAGCCTGGGGGATATGTGTTTGAATCCTCGTTTAGGCAGGCTTTTAAAATTTACCTGTTCTTCCAGTCTAACAGTGGGTACCAGAAAATTTACTGGAAAATATTGACAGCTTTCAGGATACTGACATATAAAGTGCTGATTAAACACACACACACACATGCATGCATGCACACACACACGCTCTCATGCACACACACAAACACATACCCACACACACACCCCCACCCACGCATGTACTCTTGCACACACACACACATGCACACACACACACACGCTCTCTTGCACACACAGACAAGCACACACACACGAACACATACCCACACACACAGCCACACCCACCCATGCACGCACTGTTGCACACACACACACAAACACACACAAACACACACCCACCCACCCATGCACGCACACTTGCACACACACACATGCACACACCCACACCCACCCATGCACACACTCTTGCACACACACACATGCACACACACACACACACTTACCCTGGCTTTGTGTGATCAGTTTTCTTCTTTGTATGAAAGAGATCCTTGACCTATTTTATGCTCTGCAACTGGACCATTGTCTAGTAATATCATTTTTAAAAAAAAATTCTCTTTGCCATTAAGGAAGCCAAAAGATATTTACAAATTCTTGGCACTGGCCGCATTGTCAGTTGTTGTTCGGCCCACAGCTGCTCTTGTCTGGATTTTGTTATGTTCCTGGCATCTGCAACGAGTATATGGTTCTGCAGCTTTTAACGGCACCGTCAATGCGTATCTTCTCATTGGGTAAATATCTTAACTATAGACACACCTTAATATCTTTATCCTTTTGTTATGTATGTCTCTACATGTTGTTGTACACTCAGCATAAGTCATAAGAAGTTACCATTTGTCATCCAGTAATTTATGAAGAAAAGACTAATACATTCCTTCAAGGTCCCATAATTGGAATGAGTACTCCTTTTGTGGGTTCTGGGGCCACTTTGGGGTGGGAAAAAGAATAGACCCTCTACCCCTGTAACAAGTATGTCATAGTCGACTAATTAGTGGTGATTCCTTTGAAGTTGGAGTGCGTCTGCTTGAGGGGCAAAGGGCCAGCAATCTACACACATGTAAGCCAGATCTGTAAAATGGATGTGAATGCAAAACTCAAGTTCTGGAACAAGACTAAAGTCCAAAAGTGTCCAAAAAAAACACCAGAATCTTCTGCTGAAATTTACAGCCAGTGAATGCAAAGAAAAGAAAGAGGAAGATGTGAGTAAATCTTTAAACCGTGTTGAATCTGCGTCTATGAAAGTTTAATTGGATGGTGGGGAAAATGTTCTGCCCCTGCCTTATCTTAAGAGCTGGCCAGCATTATATGGCTACTCTGGGCTGGCCTAATGAGGTTTGGGGTAGGGGAGTGGGGTGGGGTTTGGGGTAGGGGAGTGGGGTGGGGCTTGGGGTACCACCCGTGGACTAGAGCAAAGATGACGACACAACAGCGATCCTGTGCAATGTCCTACAAAACTAACTGGGAAGGCTAACCTCAGCTAACAATTACAGAAGTTGGATGTATTGGCCAAAAGCACAAATTACGCAGCCTTGCTGTAAATAATCACAGCATCCTTGCATTCTATAAAAAGCGTTAAATCTAGATAAGTGTTAAAAGTTAAAATCAAGTGGAGCAACTTCATTGCACTGGGTTTAATCCCAGATGGTTTGGTATGTGTCTTCAGAATGGCTAGCTGCCTGACGAGAAAATCTAACAAAGCACGAACACCGTAGCCCCAGTGACAATCCTCAGCAGTCTCCATAAATATTGAAAAAGCTAAGGACATGAGATTTATATAGTAAAGTGACAGTCTCCATACAAATAAGTCAGATCTGTCAAATGGATCTGCAAGCAAAACTCAGATTCTGGGACATGACCAAAGTCTAGATGTTGATGTACGGCCAAAATCTTCTGCTTGAGTTTGTAGTTGGTTAACTTGAAGAAGAAGAAAGAAGAAGCAGCTGTTGCCTATCTGATCAATTCCTTCCACCTCTGACAGTCATATACAATGGACTTGGTTTTTTTGGGTCCTTATTTGAGGCCCTTCAAATCAGCCGTTTGAGATCCTCGTTTTTCTTGGCCTGTCTCATTTCCCTTTCTCCACTTGCTTGTACCAAGCTCTATAGCATCATTTTGGAGAGACCGGTAGGTGTTATTATATGTATATACAATTACATTTGCCAGCTTGTCACTGTTGTGGCCTTCTGTTTAATGATGATGTCTTGAAATTTGTCATTTGTTTTATGGTTTCTGTATGAGATAGCAAGAATCTTTCAAAAAGATCTCATTTTCAGTACACTAAAGCCAGTTGTATATTTGACCTACCTTTCAGCTCTCTCTCATTTGGTGCCTCCGCTGTAGTTGACCGTATTTGGTATGGCAGATGGGTGTTTGTGCAGCTCAACTTCCTGTGGTTCAACCTAATAACTGGTGGTGCGGATATTTACGGTGTGCACCCTTGGCACTGGTACTTTGTCCAAGGATTTCCTGTTGTCCTTGGAACACTCATCTTCCCGTTTGTTGTTGGAGCATGGAGGGCCAAGAACAAAATGCTTCTGTGGATAATTTTATGGATTCTGGCTACTCACAGGTTAGTGGTTGGTTTATTTTCTTCTTGTGTGTTTGCTGTTTACATTATGGTCTACAGCTAGGTTGTGATCTATGTGTTTTCCCAAAACATCTGATATCAGATAACCCTTTCCCCATATTTGTTATGGGGCCTTATTGTGAGGAGGGGGAAAGAAACAAATTGACTCAGTGGCCCCCTCCACAAGAAAGCATGACATGAAAGTCGACCAATGAGGATGTTATATTCAAAGTCATAGTGCATCTGCGAGGCCACAACAGTCTTTACAAATAAGCCAGATCTGTAAAACGTATGTGCACACAAAACTCAAGCTCTGAGAAAAAGACTGAAGTCCAGAAGTGGACAAACAGCCATAACTTTCCCTAGAGTTTACAGCTGGTGAACGCAAAGAAGAAGAGAATTCTAATTACATGCCTTTTATAACTTGCTTGTTGGCTACAGTGCTATTTATTCTCCCCTCCCCCCCCCCCCCCCCCCTCGCCCAATAATCTTGTTTTGAATCCCACACTTGGAACTGCAGTTTTCTCTGAGAAAATGCCCAAAGCACTCTGCCAGGGACCTATGAAGCGAGGCTTGCCACTCTGCATCAAGCTTGTCTTTTCCCACCTTCCTCAGCATACTTAGTGAGTCCATTACAGTCATGACATGGGTGTGGCTGGTTCTCAGGCCAGAGGATAGCCTCTGTGACTGCCTCCACCTCCATTCACAAACTAGTTGTGGTATCATATCCCAGGTTTTGCTGTATGTCTGTACTACTGCAAATATGCTTTCTCTTGGGAGATTTGAGAGCTTGACCTCTGTAGATGTAAGTGAAAGATAAATTGTTGGGCATTCCTGCAAGATCCAGCTATATTTATGACAGTGGCTAATAAGTTTGTTCAAAGAACAAAAAGATAGAAATATCTCAGTTGATGATTTGTCTGTAGATGTAAGTGAAAGATAAATTGTTGGGCATTCATGCAAGATCCAGCTATATTTATGACAGTGGCTAATAAGTTTGTTCAAAGAACAAAAAGATAGAAATATCTCAGTTGATGATTTGTAGATTAATTTTCTAACTCTTAAAGTGATATTTTGGTATAGAGGTATTTTGATCCTGAGATGTAAAAGATAGGGAGAAATTACGTAGAACTGCCTGTAGTGGCAAACATTAAGGCAACAGTGCAAGTTAATGGAAGGCCTATATTGCAAAGAAGGGGATAAAAGACTCAATAAAAAGACAGTTGAAGAAGAAAACTATTGAAGAAACCTTAAATACTGGCTTTATGGCCTCTAGAAGTAATGTTTGGTAAAGGGTGTGGTATGACAAAATTATTAATTTGGAGCTTTTGAAGAAAACTAAACAAGTTTCAGTGAATCAAGGAGTTAAAGAAAAGACCCTGGAGTTGTGTAGAATTCACATTTAGAAAACCTGAGACCCTCGTGTGGGTTCCGGGGCCCCATTATGGGGAAAAAAGGATTAGACCCACTGCCTCCCCAAAAGCATGTCGTAAGAGTCGACTAATTGGGGAGCTTCCTTTGAAGTCGGAGTGCATCTGCCGGAGAGGCAAGGAACCAACAGTCTGTATTCAAGAGAATGAGATCTGTAAAACTGATGCACACGCAACACTCAGGTTCTGGAGCAGGACTGCAGTTCAGTAGTGGACGAGCAACCAGAACTTTCCGCCAGAGTGTACAGCTGGTGAACGCGAAGACGAAGAAGAAGAAAGCCTGAGAAAAGTATAACTAAAAAGTCTTTACCCTGGAACCGACAAGGGTATAGAAATAAAAGCAACAAAAAAAAACCCACACACACACACACACAGAAGGGAATTAGAGATGGAAGTTAAACAATAGAGAGGACATAGGCTGAGCTACATGTGATAACAGTAGGCAGGATGACTGGGCATTGGATGGTTGAAAGCCTATGCTCCACTGGGGGATAGAGGCCAGAAAAAGAAAAGTAATGTTTGATTCAAATTGTCTGGGAATTTCTGTATTGTTTTTGGTTTGTTTCTGCCAGCTTCCTAGCACACAAGGAGTTCCGGTTCTTGATGCCCATAATCCCTCTGGCCTGCCACTACTGCGGGGTCTACTTCCAGACACTGTGCTGCAAACCTCCTGTGAGAAAGTTTCGCTCTCTTAAAAAGGAGGATAAGAAATTAGTACCTGAGAGTAGCCAGGAGCCTGTCACGGAGGACACATCTGCTGAAGATATAGAAAAAGAATTGAGTGAAATTGTTGCCGAGGTAGAGGATATTCCATCAGTCAGTGAACTTGATGAGAGTCATGTTGGCAGGGGATCACAGGCAGCCTCGGAGGAGACTGTGCCAGAGAAAACAGCAGATGATTCTGAACGAAAACCTGAGGTACAGTTCTTGTGATTGTGTGTTAATGTTTTAAGGAAGGCCAATCACGCATAAATACATGATTGGAAAGAAAGTGAATAAATGATTTAAAAAAAATGTAAAGTCGGGAGATGTGAACCAGCGTCATTGCACACGGTTATAAACCATAAGTGCTCTGCCACCAGCTGATAAGAATTGTCCACACGTAACTCTATAGCTACAACGACGTTCCTCCATTTACCCCAGAGTGTCAACTCTGGTGCCCATTTCTTAGAGGCTGGGTAAACCCCGGGAACCGTCTGGTTTTGAACACCAACCGTGGCTGAAGCAAGTCACAGCTGGATTTGAAAGCGAGCCTCTTATCAACTGCGCTAATGCAGCACAACACGTCTACAAAGCTTTATTTTATCATGAAAACAGATAAATAAATGATTACGGTGATCTATTCCAGCATTCTGAGCCTGTGAAGTTCACTGCTGTGGATATCACTCGCCTCCATTCACCTCTGTGATAGGCCTTCTCTTTCCCGTTGGTGACTTCAAGTATTTGTAGGTCAGCCAGTGTATTATCTTTCCTCCATCTTCTTCGTTCACCTGTTTGTCCACTCCTCTTCAACTCTTTTGTGTGTGCAGTTTTTGTCTCTCTGTTATCTTTGATTCTCTCTGTATGCCTTATTCATTGCAGTCTGTTAGCCTTCATGATGTCGTGAGACTTATCTGTTTCATGATAAAATGAAGCTTTGCAGACGTGTTGACGTTGGTCCCAGTTTTCAGCTCTCACCCTAGAGGACCAAGATTTTCTTCTTCTTCTTTTTTCACGTTCACCGGCTGTAAACTCCGGTGGAAGGTTCTGTTGTTCATCCACCTCTGGACTTTAGACTTATTCCAAAACGTGAGTATTGCATGCACATCCGTTTTACAGATCTGACTTATTTGTGTGCAGACTGTTGATCCTTGCCTCCAGTCAAATGCACTCCGACTTTGAAGAAAACCCCTAGTTAGTCAACTCTTACAACATGCTTGTTGTGGAGACAGTGGGTCTTTTCTTGTTTTCCCCGCAATGGGGCCCCCAGAACCCACATGTTACCCTTCAGCCTGTCTGACTTCGGGGGCCCTGCTGGTCGGTGCGCTACTGCCGACATAGCTCTCAGAGTCAATTCCTCTCCTCCTCCTGTGTTCACTGGCTGTAAACTTCGGTGACAAGTTCTGGTTGTTCGCCCACTTCTGGACTTTGGTCTTGTTTCAAAATTTGAGTTTTGCGTGCACATGTATTATAATGATCTGGTTTATTTGTATGCAGCCTGTTGGTTTCTTGCCTGTCCGGCAGATGCACTCTGACTTTAAAGGAGACACCACTAATTAGTCAACTTTTACAACATTCTTGCTGAAAGAGTGGGTGGGGGGGGGGAGTGGGGGTGGAGGCAGTGGGTCTATTCTTTTTCTTTTCAAGATGGTGCACCAGAACTCACACATGGCTCAGAGGCATTGACAAACCCCATCTGCATCATCGCTGATTGAAGTGATGGTATACAAGTATTCAAGATGGGTGAATATATATTTCTGAGGTACATACCATACCATTTTCTGGAAGCCCCAGCCAGTTTAAAAAATCTGCCGGATGGGGATTTGAACACATAACTCCAAATTATTTCGAAGAAACTCAAAGAATCATATGGTTTAGTCACTGGTCAGAATGGAACAAAATCAACCAGCAGCTAGAGCGTACTGTATAAAACAGAAGGCTATAAGGCAACAGGCTGACCAAGAAAGGGATGGGTGGAGGGAGTAAAAGGCAGAAATGCAGTATGACATTGATAGAAGCTAGCAAGTAGTGAAATATAGGAAACTATACATAACTCCTCACTGCAACACTTTACGCCATAAGCACTCGGACAGAATAAGAAGAACACCTATATACGGTACACATTCTGACATAGAGACGGGTTCTTGCCTGACTTATTTACCTTGTACCTTGATATGTTTATGGAGAGGAAATTTCTGCCGTTAATTGGTTTAAGTCAGTGGGTCTGTCTCTGTGGAAGCTGGGAAGTTTTTGCTTTGTGCTTGCTGTTGACCAAGCAGAGACCTAGCCATATCGAGTAAAACCCAGTACGTTGAAGTTGTATCCCTTGTCTTTGTACATCATTTTCTATACATTTTTTTTTAGGTTGTGTATTTTTTTTTTGGCTTGTTATTTTTGTTTATTGATTTAGTATTCATTTGCTTTTTTTTTTCTTTTAATCTTTTAGTGGGTTAAGCATGTTTCTCCACGTAAGATTTGTTCTTGTTAGAGGCAAAAATAAAATTCTGACCTGCGCAGTCTGTGGTTACTACATTAGCCATGTGGTCCAAATTTGCCCTACAAAATGGTACATACAGCCAGTAATGACAGTCTTTTTTCTTTTTTTTAAAAACAAACTCTTGTTAGATTTTGAGAGATCAGCAACATCAGCGAAACCTACAGAAGGCCAAGCTGTCTGTGATCATCTTGCTGGTCACTAACCTGATCCCAGCTTTATACTTTTGCCTGCTACATCAACGAGGGACAGTGATGGTCACCAAGTTCATATATGATACCAGCTTGAAGAAGCCAGATAGTGATGTTCTGTTCCTCATGCCTTGCCATTCCACTCCTTACTATAGGTTTGTTTTTTGTTTTTGTTTTGTTATTGTTTTAAATGTTTTATTTCATGTCGGGCTGTTTCTGAATGGGAGCAATCTTGCTGCAGCTGGCTAGATGCTGACCTGCAGCCCCTAAGGTTGTGGGTTCACATCTGCATCGAGTCAGATTCTTTTCAGAAATGACCTTGGCTCACTGCCTAAAATGGGTCCCAGGTAAAATCTGGAGAAGTTAAGGTTGCAGACGTGGTGTTGACCACGTAACCACCAAAGGTCGATTAGTCTGTCAAATATAGACGGAGCACTATATACCCGATACACCTAAGATATGGGAAAGGGTCTATGACTTTGACTGTTTATGAACTTGTTCAGTTCAGATGACTGTATCTGATACCAAAGTGGGGCAGCAAGAAACTCATATATGTACGTACTAACTCCACACCGTCCATACAGCCGTTGTAAGCAACATATGGATGAATAAATCAAGAATCAATATCTCTGTCTCCATGTGGGTTCCAGGGCCCCCCTGTGGGTTCCAGAGCCCCCATGTGGGTTCCAGGGCCCCCATGTGGGTTCCAGGGCCCCATTGTTGGAAAGACAAGAGTAGACCCACTGCCTCCCCAAAAGCATGTTGTAAGAGTCGACTAATTGGGAGCTTCCTTTAAAGTCAGACTACATCTGCCTGAGAGGCAAGGAACCATGAGTCTGCATACAAATAAACCAGATCTGTGAAACAGATGTGCATGCCACATTTAGGTTCTGGAACAAAACTAAAGCCCAGAGGTGGACACACACCCAGAACTTTCCACCAGAGTTTACAGCCAGTGATCGTGAAGAAGAAGGAAAGCAAGAAGATGGCATCACTGCAGTTAAGACATTCCCACGTGTACTCTAATCAGTAGCTTACAAAGAATCTCATACTGATCCTGTCTTTTGCAACTTGAATAAAAGCCTGCTTATCTTTTCCTTTGTGCTTTGAATTTCATCCAGACACTCTGCTCACTCCCCTGTAAATTAGCCAGACTAGGGTCCTATCTGTAACTATAGTAAAATCTTATTAACACAGACTTGTTTACAATGAGCATGTTAAAATGTGCTGCCTGGGCAAATTTAGGAGTTGAAAATCTATCCAAATTATTTCAGGGTCCTCGCCGGTGCTACTGAGTTCGTGTACTGTGCTGAGATTCTTTGGACTCAGACTTGAGTCAGATGTAGAACAGAGCACTTAGGGGTTACCCCTTGTGCCATGATATAGATCTGTTGTTTAAACCTTAAACCTTCAACCTTAAACCTGATTAGGACAAAACGATAATTTATCTTGAACTATATTTTGTTCCCAGCAAGGATTTATTATTATTATCCCCCGGTTGGCACACATTAAAAAGAATAACAAACTCTTGAATTTTCAGTTATTGGAATTCAAATTAATGCGGTTTTACTGTACTAGAAGTTTTTAAGGGGCTAGCTTGTATTTTGAACAAAGAAGACACAAACACTGGACTGCGCAATTTATTGCCTGGCATATTTCTCTGTATCTCTTCAGATGCATCCTACAGTAACAGTTGATTAAAATGAAGCAGATTGTTACTGTAGTATGCACCTGACAAGATACAGCGAAATATTCCAGCAATAAATTGTGCAGTCTAGTGTTTGTGTCTGGGAAACGTTGCTTTGATCTTCCAAAACTTGTGTTAGTTACAGTTTTCTCCAAAAAAAGTACCCTCAGACTTGTGGGTGCGTAGGGCTAGCCAGGAACGTATATATCTCAGGTGCCTGTTGGTCTGTAAATAAATGAATCTAGCACCATATGTCCCATGTACCTGTGGTGTGAAGGGACGAATCACTTTCCTGAAGTAAATGTAATGGGCCCTGTTCACACCTGAGACACATCTGGCATATAGTGCTAGACCTAAAGTTTTATAGAGCAAGCGGTACTTGGTGGGTTTTATACTGAACATCACACTGTCTGCCTTCGCTTCCCAGGACATTACCTGGTATCTGTTTAAGTTGGGCCGACCCTGCTGCCAAGAAAATTAATGAAAAACAATCTTCCTTGATGTAGATTTGAACCGTTGACCCTTAGTTTGACAGGAGAGCATCTGGCTACTGTGCTACCATGGCTTCCTGACAGTTTCCTTGCTATACTTACCGTATCAGTCGTTGTATAAGACACACTTTTTTGGTTCTCTAAATAGGCCTTAAGATTAGGTTGTGTCGTGAAAAAAAAAAAACATAGGTAGGCCCACGTATACCGTTTTTTTCCATTGTTGCCCACACTCTAAATATGCTGAAGAACATGGCAACTGGTCGGCAGAAGGTACTTTTAGATCTCCAGTGTTGATAAAAGGATAAGGCTCTGGTTAGAGACTGGTGTATTGAAATGGGTGCAAGAAAATCATGAAAATGGCACTAAGGAATAATTTCTAACATAAATTACATCTTTCTTTAAATTTGAGTTTTGTGAAAAATTTCTTTCAAATTTTTGTTCAGATGCATCCTATTCAAGAGAGGAGCTTCTTTGATATATATAAAAATATTGTAGACTCATACATTTCACTTGTATCCTTTTCAGTTACATACATAACAACATCAGCATGCGGTTCCTGACTTGTGAGCCGAATCTTATGGGGGTCTCCAACTACACAGATGAAGCTGATCTCTTTTATCAGGATCCCAAAGGCTGGCTGCGCAAAGAATACATGCACGCAGGACAATCCTGGCCGGCCATTTTGGTGTACTTTGATGTCCTTCAGAAGGACATCAGTGACATACTGTTGCAGGCTGGGTATCATCCCTGCGAAAGCTTTTTCCATACCCACATCCCAGAGGGTAGAATAGGTTCTTATGTCCTTGTCAGCTGCAGATGATCCTGAGATATGTGTGTGTGTGTGTGTGTGCGCGCGTGTGTGTGCATGCATGGGTTCATGCATGTGTCTGTGTGTGTGTATTGGTTGTGACTGCCTGAGTGTAGCCCTATGTGTGCTGCAACCCGAAGTTTGGACACTGCAACGGCCCAGTGAACTACATCTTTGATGTTTTTTTTCCTTATTTCTTTGCTCTCTCTTTAAAGTATTGACACATTATTTCGTGGTTTACGGCTAGGATGAGATGTCTGTGCCTTTTAATCCAACACATCTGGTTCCAGCAGATTCTTAATTAATCATTATTTGTGTCATGCTTGTATGGGGAATCAGTGATGTCAGTTTAACAGGACACATCCCAGATACCCTGTTCAGCCTCCAGGGTCAAATTATGGCACCTTACAGGCTATTCCAGGTACTACCTTGGTGACTTTGCTGTCACAGAGAGCATGATGTAGACCAAAAACAGGATGGACAAATAATGTAGAAGAAACTCTACAACAGTACACTGTGTCTGTGACCAGAAGAACGAACAAACTTTATTTTCAGAGGGTTACAAATTGGGCACGCAGGCCCTTCTGACATTCGACCCTTCTAAGCACTCATTTTTCAGAGTACCGATGCCTGCTATCAATAATGCTTGTTATGGATATAATAAAGAAATCTAAATTATAGAATAATACATAGACACGTCATGTGTACACAATCGCACACACTCACATACACGTATACATACTCCTATGTTCTCATACATGCACACTCATATAGCAAGAAGCAGAACCCTAATGCTCCCTCAACAACCAGAGTGGCAAACATGGAAGTGAAGAAAAAGAAGTTCCCTGCAGTGCTGCGGGGACAAGACTATATTTGTTAGCAGTACTGGTTGTGGCCTGACGTGTGTGATGTGAATGTCGTTGTGCTCGGTCTAATTGTGGTTGATGAAGATTGTAGTTTATGAAATTGAGATTGATAAAATTATGGTTGATCTTCTTTGCATTCATATACTGTAAAAACTCCGGTGAAAAAATCCTGATTGTTCATCTGTTTTGGACTTTGATCTTGTTGCAGGACTTGGGTTTTGCATGTACAATTGTACCTCGGATAATGAACTTATTTCTTTCGTTGACTCTGTTCGTGAACCAAAATATTCCCGAGCCAGGATAGTTGTTCCCGTTGAAATCAGTGCAGATCCAATTAATCTGTTTGCCAGCTCTAGAAACATATTGTTGTTTGAATTTTTAATTGATTTATATGTAACCAACAAAATATGATATAAAATATACAGTATGACTTTACCTTTGTGGTTGATAGTTGCCGGCACAGGTACATGGTTGAAATGATTTCTGTCCGTATTCCATAGTTGTGGATTTCAAGCTGTACAATAGACATGGCCAATAAGACACTTTTTTTCGGGGGTGCTTAGTTGACCATGTTCTTAGTGCACTTGTATTCATGGCGAGGTGCAGACGCCGTCTGGAGGTGACAGGTTCAATTCCCGGCACGGTAACTATAGCTTTCGATTTTTTTGTTGTCTAGTGTGTTCTTCTATCTTTCTACTTCTTTCTATGAGTGCCGATCAATACACTTTCTGTTACTCGATTAATTCCTAATATGGTTGAGGAGGAAGAAAAGGAAGACTACTTCTTTGAAGGAGAGTTCCATTTCATAAAAATGTATTTCTGAATTTCTGATATTTTTTTCACTTCTTTGTATCCTGGGAAGTGATTTGACTACTGGCTCTGTGGCTGACAACAATGTTTCTTCTACATCTTACTTGAGACCTTCGTTGCTTCATTAACATACTCACTCCTTTAGTGGCATCAGCCGTCTTTAGCGCAGCTTTGTAATTTAAGATAGTACAGATTGTAGATTTAGCCGCGTCATACTGCTTGGCCAGATCAGAAACATGAACACTGTTCTCGTGTTTATGTGTTATTTTCTTTTTCATTTCTGCTGTAACACACTTAGGTTTATTCACACCACTGTCACTGACACATTTCTTTCTTTTTTTTGTGTGTGTGGCTGGTGGGGGGGGGGGGGGGGGGGGGGGTGGTAGTGTGTGAGAGCCCCAATAAGAGTTGATTTAATGCAAAAAAAGAGTAAGACAAAAAATTGTATCAAGAACAATGCAACAACAATGCTTACAGCGCAAAAAAATTCAGTACAGCCGATGCTGTTTGTGAGGCAGAAACATGGTGCCAAAGCTATGTTTGTGCATTTGTACACTGATGTATTGTTCATGGGTTGAGTCCAAATTTGGTTGGAAATTGTGTTCTTGGGTCAATTTGTCTGTGAGTAGAGGAGTTTGTGGCCCGAGATACCACTGTACGTCCATTTTACGGAGTGGGTAATCAAATATTGTTTAATCAACTTGTGGTTAATCAAATAAAGGTTGATAAAACTGCCTTTAGTCAAAAACGGTTTATAAAATTGTTGCTGATAAAATATTGATAGATCAGATTGTTGTTAATTAAATAATAATTGATCAAATTGTAGTTAATCAAATCATCGTTGATCAAATTGTGGTTAAACAAATTATGGGTGATGAAATTATTGTTAATCAAATAATGGCTGATCACACTGTTGCTTTCAAATAATTGAAAATGTATGAATATGACTAGAATGACTTTGTGTTTGCACCTACAGAAATGACGGAATCTTCTTCTTTTTTTTACATTTCAGCAAAAGTGTTGGTTGTTGGTCCGGGTGTGAACTTTAGTCTTATGTCAGAACCTGAGCGTTGTGTGCACACCCACTTCACAGATCCTACTTTTTTTTGTACGCAGACTGAAAGTTCCTTGCCTCTCAGGCAGACCCACTTCAAAGATCCTACTTTTTTTTGTACGCAGACTGAAAGTTCCTTGCCTCTCAGGCAGACCCACTTCACAGATCCTACTTTTTTTTGTACGCAGACTGAAAGTTCCTTGCCTCTCAGGCAGATGCACTCCAACTTCAAAGGAAACCCCCAATTTGTCATCTCTCACAACATGCTAGTCGGGAAGGCAGTGGGTCTATTCTTGTTTCCCCCAAAATGGGGCGCCAGAAAAAAAAAGGTATAAAGGGAGAGCAAAAATCATGAAGTGGAGAATTTGATTCTGGTGAATAAAATGTTGAGAATCCCTGTGTGGGAGTTCCAGGGCCCCATTGTGGGGGGAACTAAATTAGACCCACTGCCTGCCCAAAGGTATGTTGTAGGGGTCGACTAATTGGGTGCTTCCTTCGAAGTCAGGGTACATCTGTCTGAGAGGCAAGGAACCAACAGTCTGCATGCACCTTAGTTAGACCTGTGAAATGGATGTGCGGGCAACACTCCGTTTCTGGAACAGGACTAGAGTCCAGAAGTGGACGAGCAACCTAAACTTTCTGGAAGAAGTGTTGAGGACATTGAATGACTGGCATGAGATGACAATATTTAGGGTGGCATTACATGAGTTGTTGAGGGCTTTTTGCTCCCTTGGGAGCTAAAGTGCTAAATAAGAATTGACTGATTTTTTAAATGTTCAGTAATCAAAGTCATATCAATAAGGCACTAGAACAGAAAATAACCACTCGTGAAATGCGCTGTCTCCGCAAGGTCACTAACAACACTAGACAAGACAGAGTTACGAATACCAGCATTAGAGAGAAAGTTTGAATAAGACCATGTCTGGATTATATTGACAGACAAAGAATGAAAGGGTTTGGCCATCTAGTGAGAATGAGCCAGACCAGACTGCATCTGAGACTTTTTACAGTAGAAGTTGGGAAAAAGGCGAGAGGAAGACCAAGAAAGAGATGGATAAATGGTGTAGCTAAAACCTGCAAAAAGATTAACAAATGCATCACTCAAGCTACCTGAGAAGCGCAAGACAAATACAGAAAACCACGGCACTAGACTACAACGTCGTATCAGTGAGAAAACAAAACAAAAAAGAATCAAAGTCATATTAAATGAAATTCTGTACATCCAATCATTCTAAAGTAACGTATATTTAAATTTGATTTTTTAGAAATATTTTTTGTCTGTATTATCAGCTTCCTATTGTTGCGTATTAATTCTCTGTACAAGTTCTTTTCCTATTATATGGTTGCAGTTACCACTTTGAAAGAACTCTATTTCACATCTTCAGGCGTATTGGGCATATAGGGCTAGACCTTTATTGTATAGACTATTCAGCACTCCGTGGGTGAAGTGGTTACTATCACGTCAACCTCCTTTACTTGTGGGCACTTCTACCTGGTACTAATTTACGTCTGTGTCGACCTGGGAGCTTAGGTTATTTTTTTTTTTTTCAAGTCTGGCTTCACTAGAACCAGAACCTACGACCTTCAGATCCGCAGACAAGTGTCCAGCCTCTACACCTTGATGGCTCCGTGTTGCCATTTTACTGGCAAGTATTGAAGTTAGCAGTCTATGCTTCAGGGCTCTTTTGCCAGAGGAGACAGTTTGCGTCTTCACTCTTCCTGTTTCTTGTCCTCCTCATTTTCTTTCTCCTTTATCTGCTTCATTCCCTGCTCTTCCTTCTCTTACTCTTCCTTATTCTTCCTATTTCGTTCTCAGAAGTGTAATCCACGTTACAAATGTAATACGAACAGAAATACTCCTGAAGGTGTTTCAAGGGTCCTTTTTTTTACCGACAGAGGTGGAGGTAGCAGAGCTGGGAGTCAAAAAAAGCCAGTAGTCACCCAGTGAAACATAGTGTTATGGGACTGTGGTGATGAATCTAGATTGAAATGTACATTTATTGCTAACCTTTCTGATTTATGATGAAAAGTTGATGTCACCGCACTTGGGACAGGCTAATTAGTGCTTGCTCTCTCTCAACAGTCTGTGGATGTCGGTGTTGACCAAATTGCTCCTGTTGTAAGCTTGTTAACTACAAGTTGGAGCCATTATCTATGTTGACTTGAATGCTGCAGCTGCTCTTATTGCTTTTGTTACTACTGGTACTCCTACTACTACTCCTATTGCTCTTCTACTGCTACTATGAATACTGCTGCTAATACTACAACTACTACTGCTACTG